CCCTGGCTCCGCCCCTGCATGTGCTTGGAATTATATGAATGTTACAAGTAATTCGAAAAGCAGGATGTGTTCTGAACTGTTGCAAACCTATTATAAAATTGAATTCAATGCGGTTTATTGGTAGATTATTTCTTTAGTATACAGAGCAACGTGTAGTCCTCAATCTTTATTATTTTGAGTATGTGTTCCTGCTGATTCATGTTACCCTGAAAATTGCATGTGAAGGTTCAAAAGGTAAATATGTAGTCATACTGCTAGATAGCAGCTAACTAGTCAATTGGAAGATCTAAGTTTTGTCACTGTATGCTCAATTAAATTTCAACTACATTACATCATTTTCATCTCCTTACAACTAGTCTAATCATTTCTTAGGGATGTGAAACAATACTGGAGGAATCGTCATCTATGGCAAGGGTGATGATGTCTATGGCGATGATTGTCATGATCTATATGGCGATGAGCGGTATGATCCATATGGTGATGAAGGGTGATGAGTCTAATGATCTTTCTTCAGGACATGCAACAAAGTGAACTTCTGAAGTTTTGGTCAACTTTAGCTTAGGAATAATGCTTGGACCGTTATATATAGTTACTATTTTGTTTTGCATTTCAAACTTCCTAGATAGATCATGATGAACAATGTAATTTGGATGCACGTCATTTGGGCTATGGTATTTTCAAAGTCGCGCTAAATATAATATATGTTACTTGGTCATGTGTCATTGTGTAATTATGAGATATACTCCCTCTTCGTCCCAAAATATAAGATGTTTTTTGACACTATTATAGTGTAAAAAACGTCTTACATTTTGGGACGGAAGAAGTATATTTGAAGTGGAAAGCAATCCTTGAGTGGTGACTAATGGCCTGCCATCCAACAAACATCTCAAGTACGGAGACTTCACTATCGGTGAATCTCTATATTGATGGTCTTTGTTGGGCTCTCAGCCATAGGAATCCCCAAAGGGGTGTATACACAGTCGGCTATCATAATGGCTTTCGGTTTCATTCTCCTCTCGGTTATAACAATCTGTGAAGGATTTTGTTCTCCTCTCGGTTATAACAAACCCCGAAGGGTCAAATATACCGTCATCTATTACGAAAGCCGATGGGAACTAATAACAGTCAGAAAAATAAATATCAAACGGGGAACCGTTAGCTATAAACGTCGTCAAGTTTATGTGAGCCGTCTGGCAAGCAAAACATGCCCGACGGCTCACCGTCAGCTAATTACCCTCAGAGAAGGTATTACCCAGCAGTACCGTCGGCTATGAGTGTAATGGCCGACCAAGCATAGCCGACGGGAGATTGCCGACGGTGTACCGTCAGTTATATGGAAATCCGACGGTGAACTGAAATATCCGATGGTAATTTGACCCTCGGTTATAATGAAAAATCTAGTAGTGTGGGTTTGTATTGTGCGTGCATATCGCCAGAGAGTGTGTTGAACCTTCGACCTTGTTGCGATCGTTGAACCTTGTAAACCACAAAGGCTTCTGTTCTCCCTAAAGCGAACCAATAGTACTACTTTCTCTGTTCATTTTTATAAGGCCTTGAAAACATTTCAGACAAGATGCAAGGTAACCCATTTTTAGTTGTCTAAAATTACTTATAAAAGTGAACAGAGAAAGTAATTGTTTGGACAAAGCAGTGTAACCGAAAGATACGTAGGGATGAAACAAATGCACGGAACACATACACTGACATATAGACCAAAAAAAATATAGATACACATACACATGCAGCTCTCTTCTAGGAGAGGCATCGCCAAACATGCAGCTACCGCGCGCTATTGGCCTTTTATTCTCACGCCTTTGTCGTCGTAGCTACAGCTAGCTAGACGTATACGCGGGCGTGTACGTACGCACGAGCCATAGTCGGTCGAGGTAGGTCTCCGTATAGAGCTACTACTCGCCGGTGACACGTACGCACTATAACTTACATATACACTCTTAATAGTTATATGGAGTACAGTATTATAGATGCCACACCGTCGACGTCACACCACCTCCTCGATGATGGTTCCGGCCACCGCTTCCCAGCCGCGGAGGTGCTCGTCCACGCTGCTGCTGCCACCCACATGGAGGTCGAGGCCAAAGCTCATGCACTGCTGCACGCATTGTTCCTTTCTTGTTGGGTCTTGCCAATGTTGGCACTTCAACTCGCAGTCTTCCCTGCTAGGATGGTGATGCTGCTGGCTGTGGCACTGGTCCACACAGAATTGTCTCCTGGCCAGATCTTGGTAATAGGCGCACTTGTCGTCGCAATCATCGTTGCTATGGTCATGGGCATGCGAGCCGACCTCCTCCTCCAAGGCATGAGGGCGCTCGTCCACGCTGCTGCTGCCACCCACATGGAGGTTGAGGCCAAAGCTCATGCACTGCTGCACGCATTGTTCCTTTCTTGTTGGGTCTTGCCAGTGTTGGCACTTCAACTCGCAGTCTTCTCTGCTAGGATGGTGATGCTGCTGGCTGTGGCACTGGTCCACACAGAACTGTCTCCTGGCCAGATCTTGGTAATAGGTGCACTTGTCGTCGCAATCGTCGTTGCCGTGGTCATGGGCATGCGAGCCCACCTCCTCCTCCACCTGCAGGGTGGCGATGGTTTTGGCCCCATCCTCCTGCTCGGCGCCTACCGTCGCCGGAGCCAGCAACACCATTGCGAGCAGGAGGAACCACCAAACCCCACCCTTGCGAATGAACTCCATAGCTGCTCACACGAGATATGAATGGCAATGGATTGAAGAAGGGGGAGGCCGGTGACTGCATTTATAGATACACGCGTGGGATATTTACGTGGGAAAGCCAGGTATATTCGCTCGAGGTACGTCTACAACTATTCCATGGCTTAGATCGTCTTTCACCATGCATGTATCCTCTGCCAAGCATCTCCATCATTCTTTTAAGAGAACACGTGGGGCACGCCACCTGCTTATTATATTAATTATACATGGTGAAAAAAAAATCATTCATATGATGCCGGACAACCATGGGTCCCATAAAATTTAGCCGGACGACCAATGGATTTGTTTTCAGTATGTTTATTAATTAATCAATCTGCTGGCTAAGTGGCTGATATTGTATTGGGAGCATGAACCACGCGATTTTGCTAAGCCAAGTACAACAGACAACACTGCCGATCTCCATCGTGCTTTTTCTTAATACTAGTTAATTGGGAGTGTGAACCATGCGGTTTCGCTAAGCCCAAGTGCAACGGACAAAACTACGGATCTCCATCATGCTTTCCGTTTCCTTAATAATAGAGAATTCACTGTGTGTTTTTTCAAGAATAAGCAATCACGTACCTTAGCTTTATAGAAGGTAGAAAATAATGTACAAGAGAGTTACATGAACACATGAGGCAACTGGCAACACCATCCACTGCCAGACTCCGCACTTGCCACTCCTAAACCCTTGCACGACTACTCATAGAATACACTCACTCCATGGCCATCGGCCCTCATCCACATACGCAGCTCCTCGAAAATCTGAGAGGTAAATCTTTGTACGGTGTCCAGAGAGGATCTAGGCCCAAAAACAAAGCTGTTACGAAGCTTCCATAGCTGGCAGCATATAAGTATCACAAAGGAGTCGAAACTCTTCCTTCTCGCCTTTGGGATCCGTTTGCGAACATTCATCCACCAGTTTTGCAGCGAGTCCTCAGTGGACATCAGCAACAGAAGCTCAACTCCAGCCTTAGCAAAACAAGCATGCCAGATTTGTCTTGCAAAGACACAGCAAAGCAGGAGATGATCAACCGTGTACTAGATATGATTGATGTTGAACTAGCAGTATATAGACATCAATCATATCTAACATATAGCTCACCCACAAAAATAAAATAATAAAAAATCTAACATATAGCTTTAGAATCCTTGTGCACATCAGGCGGCATTTCTACATTTTTATCATTAAATAACTTTTCTTCTTCTACCCAATATTCCACCTCCCCAATCAAAGCTCGCCACGTCTCTTAATGGCCTCCACGCCTGCCACACACTTTGAAACATGTAAGCGTGCAACTGTGTTATCTTTCACACTGTGCTTATATTTGCAAAATATGCTTATAGTTTTTGACTGAGCCATGGTAAACTTGCCCCCTCTCTCCCTC